CCAGGAGGCAATTGCAAAAACTGAACAGAAGGTTCCAGCCTTCTCTGGCAAAAAACTGCACCTCCTCACTTGATGGTCAATCCTGAAGGCTTCATAAAATGAGTTAATCACTACTAAGAAAACACATCAAGAGGAAAATTAATATTGACTGACTCACTTTAGACTCATGGAATGTTTTGGGTCCGAAGGGGCCTTAAAGCTCATCTCGTATCTCACCTGCCATGGGCAGGGACACCTCCCACTAGACCATGTTGCTCAATGCCCCATCCAACCTGGCCTTGAACACTTCCAGGGATAAACTCCATATTAAAATCCCATATTGGTTCATACTAATTGAAATGGATTTGTTGTAGAAATGTTATGGACGGCACCAGCTTCACACCATTACAGGCAAAGCATGTCTCCTGCATGTTTTTTATTCCAAAGCCCTTTACAGTGACCTAAGATGTTGGATCTATAGCTCATTTTTTTCCCCCTGTGTTAAGTCCAAGAAGACATTGATATTCCTATGTATTCATTTGTTCCCATGGGATACTGATATCTGATCTCTTTGAGTATTCCAATTTGCAGTCCAAAACCACAAAAATAGTTTGGCAGCTAAAATTAATGACTGTTTCTGATTTGGCAAGGTACTTTAACACACGCTCACCTTCAAGTGCATGAGTCCCCCATTAATGCAATCATTATTCATTTCATGAAATGAAGCAACAGTTCACCTGGCACTTACGTGCTTTTCTGTAATATTTTGAAACACACGTTCAGTAAATAAGTAATTAGACTTTTTTTTTAAGTTGTGCAAAGATGGCCTGAAGCATTGCCTGTCCACTCTGTGCAGTCATTTTCACAAATCCTTAAATTTATACTAGTGTGAAGTGATACACACAGCTCTGTTAAATCTAAAGACATATTGCCCGTTTTCATACAACCTGCAAGACTATAACAGTTAAAAATTCCTGCAGAAAACTAATCAGACACAGTTTAATTTAAATCTCAGAGTCCACTAGGGCATCTTCAGTCTTGATACCATTTTGAAGTGAAGGAGGTCACACAAATCTTCCTGTAAGGTACTTAGGGCATTCCCTCATTACCCCCATAAAATGGGTGTCACAGTTTACAGTGTTGTAACCAAAGCTGGTAAACACGAATTCTATGCCATGAAGATGTAATGGACCTGCATGCAAATCAAAGTGCTGTCCTTTCATGCCATTTATTTTCTCACCAAGGAAAAAAGCTACTGGGGAAGTAATGATTGTGAGGGGGTGCACAAAAATCCAGCAAAGTGTGATGAAGTGCTTGTTTTCATTTGGAAGACAAATTTTGAGCAAAAGAGAATGGGTTATGTCAGTGTATGCTCTGTATGTGTGGTATTCAAATCATGCAGAAATCTGCCTTGCACGAAGGCTAATGTCTCTGAAATCCTTCACTGCAGTATCCATATGCATCTCTAGGAAATTCTGTAGTCAGTCCAAATCCCAAATGTTAAGAAGGAAAAATTTCTAAGAAGTCAAAAGACCAGGGGGAAATCTCACATTTAATTTACACACTACACACTGTTTGGTAAATAGCAGCTATTGTTTAGAGTAGAATGCAGTCACCATTCATTATATTTTGACTCTACATTCTTCATTGGGAATTCAGGAAGTGGTTCAGACTAAAATATTCCCTTATGTTATTTGACCTGTAAAAACTTGGAGACAGGCCAGATTCTGCAGTCCTTAAACAGACAACACTCCCATTGACTGTGGGATTGGACCTTAAATTTGACTGGGCTGTAGCCCTGTGCAGCTCAGCTCAGTGCAGTCACTTGGGGCATGGGGTGGTGGCCGTGGCACACTGAAAACGAGACCATTGGATTTGGCTGGAGCTGTTATCCATCTGACAAGAGAAACAGTGGGAATTCCCTTCCATGGCTTGTACAATGCCTTACAAACAGAATTAAACTTCAAAAAGAACTAAACAGAACTGAACACCTCATGGAATAATTATTTCAATTATTGTTCATTCTTGCTGCTTCTTCTGATAGAAAGGCATTATTGAGCTGAAGGTAATCCGTAGCTTTTCCATGGATTCCTTAACAGAGCACACTTGGAACAAAATTCTCAGAGTTGGGTTTACTCCTCTTTATTTAAAGCAGAAGTAGGTATCCAAACACCCTGGGAGTCTGGGTTTCAGCACCTTGTATTTTGGAGCATAAATGCATTTGAAAATCAAGGTAAAGTCCCAGAATTGAGACAATTCTGCTTATAGATTCACTTGGCCATCAAGATTCCATTTCAAATTCTTGCTAAATTTAGGATCATAGAATGGTTGGCTGGAAGGAACCTTAAGGATCATCTGGTTCCAATCTCTCTGCTGTGGGCAGGAACACCTTCCCCTAGACTAAGCAATGGTTGCTCTCTGCCTGACCCAGCCTGCCCTCAAGCACTTCCAGGAATGGGGCAGCTGCAGATTATCTGGACAACCTGTGCCAGTGTTTCATTCCCCCCAGAGCCAAACTTTTCTTCCTAACATCTACTCTAAACCTACTCTCAGGCTGTCCCATGTCCCAGGGATTCCCTCTTGTCCTGTCACTCCAGGGCCTCAATGAAGAGTCCTTCTCCAGCTTTCCTTATAGGACCCCTTCAGATACTGGCAGGCCACTATGAGCTCTCCACACAACCTTCTCTTCTCCAAAGAAGGGAACTAAGTTTAAATCTCATCACAAGTCTTGAGGGAGGTGGGCAGAAGCATTTCCCTGGGATCGTACTCCAGCTGTCATCACCCTATAGCTTATCCCATTCTGAAAACACTTGGTCACACAGAAAGGGTTAAAACCAAGTAGGATCATGCCATAACCTGCAAGGGAGCAATTCCTGTTGGCCACTCCTTCACACTCATCTCTGTTACTCCTACTAATGTTCTTGGCTAAGAGTGATGTAGAACTCCTCAGAAGACTACAAGACAGCCAAAATGATTCTTTCACTAGGCATCCTGATCCTTCAGGCTTTTCCTCCTGAACATCCCAGCTCACATCAAAACACGGTTCATTAATGCTACCCTGGAAAGTACATCCTCAGCAGCAACCTGCACAGCATGCAATGTGTATCCTATGGACAGAATTAAAGCTCATTCTGTGTATGCAAGAGGGAAGATAATTTGTCATTATGGATTTCATTGTTAGGGAAGGGACGGTTGTTCCTACAACACTCTGGAAAACACCCCTGTGAAGGTATGAACAAACAATTGAGTGTTTTGTTCAAATCAGTGCCTGATATTTTTAGGCTGCTGCACTTGATGTTTAGCATTTATCTTTAGAATTTAATCTATCAGATAGGAAATGCTTAGTTTGGCAGAGGCAGGAGGATTACTCAGTGTTAGCTCACTGGTTACATTTCCACAGGCTTTAAGACATTCTTCCTTTTTAGACTTCATATTTTTTTGATAGCAAGTTAATGCATAAAGATTGCTTCAACATTCTTCTACACAATGGAACCAGGTGAGTCTTTGTGTAGCTTTTTTCCCTTGGCAACTGCTCTCACTTGTGTCAGGAACACTCTTTGTTCCATGAGGATGTTTGCCCTATACCACCCTGTGACTCAGAGCACATTCTCTCCTGGAAATTAAAAGGAAAATGGAGTTCTCTTCCATGGTACCAGCAACAAGTTTTGCAAGAGGCAGATTTTATTTCCCCTTCCACACCCTTTTTCGTTTTTTTTTATACTGAGATTTGAATGATCTTGTGGAATTCTGTAAATATTTTATTACATATTTTATAGGTGGAGCATTTTATATCTTGCAGTCTTTTTGGAAGTGCGGCCATTGAGTTCAGTTTCTCCTGCCCCCATGGTTGAGCTGTAACTGCTTCCATCTGTCTAAACCTATGTGCAGTTCACTAATTGTTGACCCCTTAGGTAGGACTTGCTGTTTCTATAGCTTTATTGTTAATCATTAGATTCAGGAAAAATAAACCTCTTTTGACATTACCAATAAGGGGTTCCAAGAATGAAGAGAAAAATTCCTCCTGCTTTAATTGCTCTTAGAATTTTTAAAACACATTCCTTCAGCAATTTAGGAGAAAATGCTTATGGGGAGGACTGGTTCACAGAAATACAATTCACAGGAAAATTGGATTAAACTACCACTACTGCAAATAATTCTATGAAAGATTAATTTTTCTGCAAAGTATTGTTGAAAAATTTGTCTGCAAACACTCTTTGCCAGCAAGTTTCATTCACATTTATCTGCATAGATTTCTCCCAGTCATATATTGAGAGAATAAGCCATATCCTTTCAGTAATAAACTGTACTTTGGATCATCCTCCAATGACACCTTTCCAGATTTTTTGAAAAATCATGTAAAACCTCTCTCTCTCTGGTTAAAGTCTCATAGGGTAAAGACAAGAAATTTGGTGTAAGTGGCTTATAGACTATGTCACAACTATGAAGAGCTTTGCAGAGTTTATAAAACAAAGAATATTTTCTTTAAAAAAATTGTAGAGTACACGCGACTTGCTCTTTTTCAAGATGTTTTTATAATCTACCACTGTTGCTGCATTGCTAGATGTGGGATTTCTTTTTTCCTCACAAGATAAACAGCACACAATTCTATCTCGTTTTTCACCTTCATCACACACTACATCAAAATACATCTGTGCTCCAGAAAATCTTATGGACAACTAAGGATAAATATTTTCTTTTTAAAAATTAATTTTTCAAAATGTTTATTTTGATAATTACCACTTTTCATCTCATTATTTAAGCCAAGAATTGTGATGAAAAGAATGTTCTTCAGTGACTTAAATTAAAAATACTTGTTCTTTTATTTTTTAGCCTGAGCAATAATTCATATTTTGAAAACAAATTTGCAAAGCAAACAATCTAAGAAAACAAAACTTACCATATGGAGGGATTTGGGGGTTTGAGAATGTGGGGTATGTCACTTGCTTTGTTTCTTTTTCAGATTTTAGTTTTTTAAAAACTGAAATGGAATTTTTAAACCAGTAAAAAGAAATGATACTCACTCATTATCAGAATATGCAAGAGTCCTAACCAAGGACTAAGATAATCATTGCTCGCTGCCTGATTTTCTTCCAGGAAAAGTCATTAATTCCAATTATGAAATAAGGCTGTAAAACAAAAAAAACCCCAACTTATTTATGTCTATTTGCAGAAAGCTGAAACATCCATCACCCCTCAGTTATAGTCTGGCTCGTCCCTGGAAGTGTTCCAGGCCAGGCTGGATGGGGCTCTGAGCAACCTGCTCCAGTGGGAGGTGTCCCTGCTCATGGCAGGGGAGTTGGAACTGGATGATCCTTAAGATCCCCTCCAATCCAAGCCATTTTGTGTTTTCATTATTTTCACCATGAATAAAAAAGATGAAATATGGAAAGAGCAAACATGGTGCAGATGTGTCCCACCAGCGTGTCTCTTTTCCTTGCAAATGGAACAGAGGTCAAATGGTAGAAACCAAACACCAGACACAAGGTGTAGAACAGACCTCAAAGGGGGGAAAAAAATAAAAAAAAAACTTCAAAATAGCAGGAAAGGATGAACTTGTAAATGAAAGATGTGACAAGTTTCCCCATTCTTTCCTCAGGGTGACAGATACACAATGTCACAGCGAGAGGGGAGCTGGACTCCAGGGCAGAACCCAAGTGCAGCAAGAGTTGGGTTCTGCCACGTGCAGTGGGGGTTATTTTGCCATATGTAATGTGGGTTAAACTAATCCAGAGAAGGACCTGAAGAGTATTGCTGAGTTTAGGAACTTGTCTAGGAGGACTGAATTTGAAGAAAACCTCTGCAGACAAGATATAGTTGGTTTCACCTCAGCTGGCATTTTTCTCCCTCTCATCAGGTTTATGCTTTACATAGCAGCTGCATAGAAACCTGATCTATGCAAGAATATATTAATTTTATCTTTATTAAGAAATGTCTAGGTGTGATCTGACACTCACAGAATGAATTGATAGCAAAATTCACCCTGATCTGTGTTTTCAGTTCCCAGCTATCCCTCTGCACATGATCGAATCAGAAGTATTCAACTACTGTATATGAGATTATGGTGTGAATAAGAGAATCAGCCTGGCTTTGACATGTAGGCAGAATATTATATATTATGTGTGCACTCACAGACATCCTCAGAGCTCAAAATAACAGATAAAAACCTCGTTACTTCTAAAAAAATCCCTGTCACTCCTCTGTTCTGTAATTTCACCTAAGATTCTCATTACAATTGTAAATAGCTTATTTCTAAGAACCAGAGAAAGATTCAGTAGAACTCCAAGTAGGTGTTTGTTGTCCAGCTCTTGGAGCTAATTTTAAATTTTCCATCTCTTCTGAGAACCTTTCTTTCACTTAAAATGTATCACCAGACTCATTAGAGACCTGGGAACAGAATTAAAAGGCAGTGACAGGTACAGCCGAGTATGTAACTGAAAATTAATTTCTTCATGTGAATTACAATCATTATGTTTGCAAATGGATTCATTTTCAATGGAAAAAAAATCTGTTCTCATGAGAGAAAAATTCTGCTTCTGTGAGATAATTACAGTTTTGGCCTTTCTCTTTTATGGAATTCCCTTTAAGGGCTGCTGATTATACCATGAAGAGCAGCAGCTGGTGAGTATCTTATTTGATTAACAATTCAAGCAAAATTTACATAAAAACTTAGCACACAGGATTACAATTTCCAGAAGATGGATGGAGCCCTGCCTGCTGTGTCTGCAGTATGACTGATTTCAGCCAAAGTCCTTCCTCTGATATCTATTGTATAGGGCCAACATTCCCAAACTGATTTAATGGGTACTACTCCTCAATTCTAACTGTCTGCAAAAAAAGTAATTAGAGAATCATTTGCATATTTGAATTGCCTTAGTGTTTTTGTTTGGTGTTTTTTAGAGATATGTGGTGTTATACTCCCTGTGCTTGCTACAAAAATTTATCAATGATGTTTGCAAGAGGATAGGGAAGCAAAATGCTATGCCAAGATGACAATAAATATGGGGGTTTAATATTTTATGTGTGGCCTTTCAGCACAAAGCAGCCAGCTTGTAAATAAGACATTTTTTGTTGCAAGGTGCATGAAAAGTTTTCAGTGTTTTCATTACAGCAGTCTGATTTACACTTTAAAGAAGAGATGTTTGAAGCCACCTATATACAAATGTAAAGAAATGAAAAAAGAGAGAAATGTCAAAGCCTTCAGTTTTCACTTGCAAGTGAAATCAATGATTGGTTCCAGCTTTAAACCTGAGTAAGGCAAATAAACCCCCTCAGTTTCGCTCTGCTTTCCCACTCAGCTCATCCTGCTGAAAAATTGTGTGGTCCTCTTTCCCCTACAGCAGTGTCTTACCCAGAGGAAGGTGAAAAATGCCATCTTGGCTGTTCCCACAGGCAGATCACATGAATTCAATTCAAATCACTGCAGCTTTACAATCAAGCATTCCAGGTGCCTTGTCAGGGACAAATTGTGCCCCATTCTTATCTGAAACATCATCTTCAACATATTTATAGCCTTTCTTTTTTTCCTTTTTACTGCACTTCATAGATTTCTGTGATGCTTCCTATGTTCTGTCCTTGGGTTTATCACAGACCCTGGCAACCTCATCAGCTCTGTCTTCCCTCTATACTTGCCACTGGGACTCAGTTTGCCAGGGCCTGTTGAACACAAAGAGTCCCTTCAAAAGGTTTTGTGTGAGGGCTGTTGTCACTGCACCACCAGCTCGAGGCTTGATCTTATCCCTCTGAATTGTACTGACAGCAGGATTGGGCCCCAGATGAGATAGTGTCTCTGACTCGAGTCAGACTGTACTGTTAAAATTCCCACTACTAAAATGCAGCCTTTCTATTTCTTTGTACACAGTCCTCAGGACTTCTCAATACCAGCAGGCAAGAAAATTCCAATGATGCCAGAGGGATCTTTACTTGTCTGAAGCAGAAGGGAATCCATGGGAATTCTCAGAAGCTTTTTTATCTCTTGCTCCCTGCAATTATTTTCTATGTTAGAAGCATAATTGAGGAGGAAAAAAGCAGATGACATCAGCCACTGAGTAGAAAAATATCAAGAAGAAATGACACAGACTGTGGAACAGAATGATACTTCACTGCAGCAGGCACTAGCCTGGGATCAGAGAACAGCACTTGCTTCCAAGGTTGGACACAGATTTCCCATACATCATATCTGTCTTGTAATTTTTCATTACCCCATAGGAAATCCCCAGGATAAAACTCAAGGCTCACTCAGAGGTGTTCACAGAGGACAGCAGCGAAGGCTCTATAAATACCTACAGAGTTACAAAGCAAAAACCACATGAGAGAGAGATGCAGGAAAACATAAGCAGTTGGGAATAATTACTCTTTAGAAATAAGAGAAAGGACAGATTGCTTTGCCTGGAGATGTAGGGCCCACTTGCATTCTCCTTGAAAAGCCACTGCTGTAGGAGAGTGCACTTCAACTATCAGGCTGTCAAAACCTCAATTTTCCTGTATTCTGAAGGGATGCATTAAAAACAAACATAACCCTCTTTTAAGTGCATTAGGAAAATGGGTCAAGTGGGACCATGTGCACCTACAGTGGGGATTTGCCCACTCTCAGTTAAAGCCACCTGACAGCCCTAATTTAAGCAGAAAACCAAAAAGTAAATTGTTTTCTTCTTTCCTCCCCCTCTGCCCTCCAAAATCCAGATAAAACCAACTACTTCCTATCAGCAGCAGCTGATTTGGAAACCTGGAATGGCAAACTGCAGCCAAGGTGTTCATGGCCAAGGTCCTACTGGCAGGGGTCCAAGGACACACCAGACCCTTCTCCCAGGCCCTTTTCCATCAGCACTGTGAATTCATCACCACCAGACTCCAGGTCTGATTCCAGGGAAATTTTGGTTTTTCTCTGGCTGACTGGGGTTGGATTCTGCCTTTGGATTAGACAGAGCAATTCCTTAATGTGCAGGCACCACACTGGGATGATCTGCTGCAGCTCAGTATTGTAGGCAATGATGAAAAATTCAGAGTTTTGGTACACAAACAACCCAAGAAAGAAGGGGCAGTCCTGGTTTGTGACCTAGAGTTTTCTACTTTTAGTTTATAGATGTTCTTTCTTTGTTTCTTACATGAGACTAAGAAAGCTGGGCCCCCAAGAGTGCATTTTACACTACTTCCTTCAGCTCATAGCAACTTCCCATAAAATATTTTTGATTTAATAAACCATCTTGCTCTATACATTAAAATTCCTCCACCTACAGTAAACGAGACTGTGACAATTAACCAAAACCACAGAGGCCCTAATAAACCATAATAGAAAGGATTTAGAATTTCTTATTTCAACAATTTAGAAAAGCCAACGATACCTTTTCTAGTGGGCACCCTATGAGAAACTTTAAAAAGGCCACAAAATGCCCTTTAATTGGATATTAAATTTGATTATTCAAAAATTCCCAACACAGAAAAAAAGAGGAACAGAGCATGGAATATGCACATAAAGTCTTTAGATAAGCAAATGCCAACACAATGGAATTTCTGTCTGGATCCAAAACAAGGATCAAAATGAGAGAGCAGCACCCAGCAACTCTGATGGGGACCATTGGAAAGACTACCAAAATGTTTTATTAAGGTTAACTAATAGAAATGTATAAGTTGTTAATTAATTTATAAAATGTTAAAAATTAAAAAATTAATTTATAAAATGTTAACTAATAGAAAAACCTGGGAAATTATTGCTACCAGTACCTTGGACACTGAGCCTTCAGCCCATGGAGACACAGAGCTCTGGCTGTGCCAGGTAGGAGCTGAAAGAGAAGCCTTCCAGAAATGTTCCTGCTAAGACACTGAGAAAAATGAACACAGGGCTGTGCATCCACAGACCATTTAGTTAACATAACCTTCATATTTATTTTCAAGACAACTGCTCTGCAAGGACAAGATTTAGTTCTTTGAATTCTATGCATTATTAGGAAGTCATAATTTTAAAATTCCAGAGATAAAAGGTAAGATTTTGCTGAGGAGGAGGGAAAGGTAGATATGAACACCATGGCTCCAAAATTCCCAGGCATAAATCGTGTAATTTAAATCTCCTAAATCTGTGAGTGAAGCCATGCTATGTTTACAGCTGTTGTTCAGAGTGGAGAAACCATTTGGC